GCTGATCGAGATTCAGAACATCCTGACGCCATTTCTCCCAATGAGTATACAAACTCTCTGGAATTGGGCTGTCCCAATCAAGCTTGTCTCGGCACATTTGCTGCAAAACTTGTTTTCCTTTCAAGGTAACTGGGGCAACGAAACCACTAGGATCGTAGATTGAACTGATTGTGGAAAGTACGCCACGTCGCGTTGGGGACGGTCACGCAGCTCGATGCGGAATTGAAAACTGTCATTCTCAATGCACCACACTACTCCTAAGGCACGTTCTAAGGGCAGTGGATCAACCTTCAAGTCTAGCTCCTTTAATCCTTTGGCGCGATCTTCGGCCGGAATCTGTTCAAGAACTTCTCTTTTGTTTGATGAAATTTTGTGCAGTCTCAGGCCGGCCTTGGCGCAAATGCCTTGACTTGCTTTTATCAGTGTAACAGCTCGCTCCACGGTAGGGACTGATTTTAGTCCATCATCCACATAAAAAGTCCTGTCGTATAAACTCAGCAGCTTCTTCACCAAACTCTTTCTCCCCATCATCTGCTGCTCTCTTTAGACCAAAATTTGCGCAGCCAGGTGAACTACCAGCACCGAAAAGATGAACCTTCATCCTATACTCAGTCACTTCATTTGCAGGATTCCCATCCTTCCACCACAAAAAGCGCAGGAGATCTCTGTGTTCCTCTGACACCATAAACTGATGAAACATACTCTTAATGTCAGTCATAAACGCAACATTTTCTTGTCTGAATCTGCACAGGATCCCCAGAAGAGTGTTCATGAGGTCGGGTCCTTGTAACAAGTGATCGTTCAGGGACACCCCTTCATACTGGGCCGAACAATCAAAAACAACCCTGATCTGGTCTGGTTTTTTGGGTGGTAAACACCGGTGTGTGGTACATAGTTAACCATTCCATCCTGAACTCCATGGCGGTCCGGTGGTACCTCTTCTGCACACAAAGCAATCACATCTTTCATGAATAAGCGATAATCTTCCAGAAACTTGGGGTTTCTCTTAAACCTTGCTAAAAGTTGGTGCCATCTCTTGACAGCTAGTTCGCGGTTGAAGGGTAGAGACGGTTTGTCTGTCTTCAAAGGGAGAGGCATCTCGTAGTGCCCATCCGATCTCTTCACAATACCATTCTCAAGGATGTTGAGGAATCTCCTGTCTTCAGCTGAACAGGGCTTGGTATTTGCAGAACTTTCTGTAAAGTCTGACTCAAGAATCTTAATAATCTTCTGTGGGTTGATAATCTCTTTCACCTTTGTCGTAAAGGCAAAGTGTTCATGGGTTTCTTTGACCATCACCTTGTTGCACACTCCTTCCTTATGGTTGGCTTCACCTGTAGATTTGCACACCTTGCCGATTATACCCCACCCCATTAAAGATCTTTGGCCGTAAGGGTCGTCTTCACCTCCCACTAGGACTTCTCTGGGTCTGACGATACTAGGGCAATTATTGCCAATCAGCAAGGAGATTTCCACACTTGGATTGTAGGGCATGAGCTCGTCAGCAATAGGACACAGATGTTCCCATTTCCGGGCAACACTGGCTTTTGGAATCTGCGACCGACTGGCTGGGATGATATCTCGCTTGAACATCATGGGTAGCTTCACAGCATGCTCCCTTCTAAAATCCAACACCTCAACTCCACAAATACGGTTGCTTGGTACATGTACATTTCTCTCTTGCACTGTTGTCAGCAGCAAGTCGGTTGGTGGGCCTTGCAAGTCCAATTTTTCACACAAACTTTGCGACACAAAACTCACATTGGACTGGTCATCTAGCACTGCATATTGTAAGACTTCTTTACTGGGTTGGCTAACTTGTCTAACCCAAACAGGTACAATCATGGCATGATCCGAGCCGCCCTCTTGCTCTGGGATGGTACAAACATTTGTACAGTTCGTAATACTTTCCTTGGGAGTTTTCTGAATATGGAGACATGTAGGGTGATTTCCAGAACACGTGCGACATTTAAGTCTGTTCTTACAGGAGGATACTTGATGTTGACTGCTAGAGGCACATCCAAGACAAAGAAATTTCTTATAGAAGAAGTCTTTCCTTTCCTTGTGCGGCTTCTCTGCAAACTTTTTACACTCGTCTAGCTGATGTTCTTCCTTGCAAAACAGACATACTTCGGTCTTTTTCTTCTCGCTCCTCCCTTGCGAACAGGTTGGGGGTCTCTCTTTTTCACCTTGACCCTGGGCAGTCACGTTCTTGCTTGGATCCAATACATGAGTTTCGAAGGAAAAGGCCTCCTCGCCTTTTGGTGAGCGTCTGAATGGTCCTCTAGGCCTAACAAACTCTTTGGTTTTGGACAGCTCCTCAAGTTCGGGAATGTTCGCTCTCTCTGCACACTCTTTCACAAATGAAGCAAATTCAGAGAAGGTAGGGTAAGTACCATTTCCTTTTGAGACTCTACACTGTTGTACTATTCCTCTCCACTTATTCTGAATTTGAAATGGCAACTTGTTTAGAGTTTTAACGTTCTCCTTCGCAAAGTCTAAGACAGCAAGACTAGGAGTAGTTTCTCTGGCGGCAATTATCTTTTGCAGGAAGTCAGAAAGATCTCTTAGGGCCTCCGCATCTCTTACGCCAATCTTAGGCCAGTTCTCCAGTTTGTTCATAAAGGCTGTCCCTACTACATTGCAGTTACCATACCTTTCCTTTAACAACTTTCTCGCAGACTGATAGGCATCTTCAGTACCAATTAACATATACTGATCAACAACTTGTTTGGGCTTTCCTGAGATGTACTGATGTAGGAAGTTCAATTTTGTCTGCGCGTCCATTGGTTTGGAATCAATAAGGGCACTGAAGGAACTGTTCCATGTAGGATACTCCAAAGGATCTCCACTAAAAACTGGGATTGAAATCTTAGGCAGTTGCCCTGAGATTGCTAGTTGCCTGTTCACTAGGTTCTGCTCCATAGTAGCTGCCACCAACATACTACTTGTTTCCACTAATTTGTCCATACACTTTTCTAAGACGACAGAGTGTGGTTGAAAGGGTGTGGCACTGGGGCTTAACGTACTGTGCACTCCATTTTCTACACGCGGAAGACTGAAAGTGGGTTGGGCTCCATTTAACTGAGTTGAAGAGTAGATAGGTTCTTGCTGACCAGGAGAGAGATCACTCTTACTTGTGACTGGAATTGAATTAAGGAATTTGTCCATGTCCTTAACTTTATCAGCGGGGGAATCGAGTTTAGATCCTGATCATCAAACAGTTCTACTTTATCTGCTGACATGCATACATTAAGCTTTGCTTGATTCTGAGCAAGTTCACTTTGTAATCTTAGCTCTTCCAACTTTCTTTCTTGTTCTAATTTGGTCAACTCAGTCTTTCTGTGTTCTAATCTCAGTAACCGTTCCTTCTCTATATAGGCCAGTTTAGCCTTTAAGGCAGCTTCCTCCTTTTGTAACTGAAACCTATCTTCTTCAACATTATCATTGGAACTTATTTTTGACCTACTACTTTTCTTGGATGCTCGACTGGACCTTTTGGATGCTTCAGAGATTGAATCATCCACGTGGTGTTCGACAAATTCCAGAAACTTTATCTCTGATCTAATGTCACACTCAAAATTTGACCATTCTCTGCCAACTTGATCAACCATTCTTTCAATATTTTCCACATTCTCATCTGGGTTCGCAAAAACCTTAATCTCTTCAACCATGTCTTGAAATTCGCAATACAAAATCTGAGCTTCGCTGAATTCTTTCTTAAATTCTACTAGTTTAGTTGACTGACCTCGCTTCAGTAGAGTACCTCTCATTCGCTTCACCAGTTCACATTTCTTAGTTTTCAAGTTACTTGTTTTCAAGTTGAGTTGATACGTATACCCTTTCTCCGTCAGGAAACGCTTCCTTGATTCATCAGTTTCTTCTTCCAGCGCCACATTGACCTGGTCTTCGGGTCTTGCTTCTTTGTTGACGGACATGACTGCTACACGAAGATCGTCTAACGATTGTTATTGTGGCTGGCCTCCCGTAGTACATACAACAAGAGGAGCTGCTAACAATCAACACGAACGTCCCAAACGTAGTTTATTCACAGGTCCTCGGTACAACACATTCTTTTTACTCCTTAGTTCTTGGATCCTGAGTCCCGAGATAACAATCTGACATGACAAATACATGATAGGCTAAATACGTGATTCGTAAGTACTAAACTTCAAAATGTCGTGTGAAATACTCTCTTGGGATTTTCCGTAAAATGTTCTTTTAACAGTTCTTACCGTTTAGGCCGTATAATGTCCGATGGATGGCGATAACTATCCAAAAACTTGAACAACACGAGAAAGGGCTAACATGGCGGCCGCTTACTAAAATCTGGTGCGGCTGCTAAGCTTTTACAACATACCGCTGACTGCGCAGCGCTGCAGTCACAGTTGCATTGAAGCCGATGCGAGTTCATTTAAGCCCGGACTTGCGGTCCTGGTTGAGTTAAAGACGAGTGAAAGATAACGCGCGCAAACTATGGACTACTTAAATTTACATTGGTCATTATAGCTATTCCGTAGTAGCGTAGGTGGGATCGCGCCCAGTGAATACAGATCCGGAGGTTATGAGTTCGAGCCCGACATAAAACTTCTTGCACTTCTTCTTCTTCTCTCTTTAAAAGTAAAAAAAAAAAACATAGAAGAAGAACAAAAAACTAAGAACAAAAAAATTCCTAAGAAAAAACAAAAAAAAATTGAAGCAGAAAAAAAAAAAAACCCGGTTTCAACATGGCTTTGAAAAAAAAAAAATTTGATTTTTAAAAATCTAGTTCAAAACCTGTTTTAAAAAGTAGTTTAACCTGTTTTCCAAACCTGGTTTAATATTTGTTTTTAAACAACTGGTTTCAAACCGGTTCAAACCGGATGTCCACCAATCACAGATCGTGGTGTCTCACGTGGTTTGCTCTATATAAGTCGACGTCAAGCGCCGCCAACTTCACATCGTCGAGGTCCAAGATAAAGATGGAGCGGTACTACGACTTCAGCAATGAAGAAGAAAACATGAATCAAATTTTGAACGACGCATATGACCGGTGGGAGGAGCAGATGGGTGGTGGTGCTGGTGGTAGTGGTAGGCCATTGTTTAAATTTCAGTTGAAACAAATAGGAAAACAACGAAGATGGCGTGATGTCGTCAGGCGAGACACTTTTCATGCCGAGTTAAGGCAAATAAGAGATGCTGTGGAAGGAGATAATATTGGAGTGGCCTTAACTGAAGCTCTTTATGAAGCAATAGAGACAGAACTCCAACGACAAAACAGAGCAAACCATCATTGGCTCAATTTGGCCATTCCGGCAAATGGATTTGCACACGCCTACCAGTCGGCGAATTTTACTGTGCAGGAATTCCGACAGCGTACGCAAAGATTGGATGAATTACTATCCAAGTTGGCGGGCAAATTAAATTCAAATGAAGCATTCATACCCAGTGAGGGATTTCAAGTGGATGTAGTGATGGTATCGATGCCGGGCCCTGGGTCCGGTCATGCAAAAAAAAACAATCCCGGCCAACGATGTCTGGATAAAGTCAACAAAAAGAAAAAATGTATCATCTCGATAAACAACGATGATACTCTGTGTTGCGCTAGGGCGATAGTCACAATGAGGGCCCATTGCCATAGGAAAGAAGGAGTTGACGGGCACAGAAATTGGGAAAACCTCAAACGTGGCCTGCCTATACAAAAAAAACAGGCAAGAGAATTACATCAGCAGGCGGGAGTGGCCGAGGGCCCATGTGGCTTGCACCAACTGAAACAGTTTCAAGAAGCATTAGGGCCGAATTACCAACTACTCGTCATGACAAGGTGTAAACCCTTTTTCCTTATATTCAAAGGTCCAACTGCTGCCAATCAGATACGACTTATCAAGTCCAATGATCATTATGACGGGGTAACCTCCTTTCCCGCCTTCGTAAATCGCTCCTACTACTGTATCGAGTGCGAGAAAGGATTTAACACTGATGACAGAGCCCACCACGCATGCCAAGGCAGGAGATGTTCAGCGTGTGCACGATTTGACTGTCCTGATTATGTTTCAGGCAGCGAGCCAACGGATTATTGTTCACACTGCCACACCAAGTTCTTTGGGATTGATTGTAAGAATCATCATTTTACCAGCAATATGTGTGCAACACATCAAACTTGCAGAAACTGTTTTGCACAGTACATGGTCATCAAGGGTAAAAGGCACAAGTGCGGTTTTGCTAAATGTACTTCATGTAAGAAATACGTACAGATAAATAACCACAAGTGTTATATACAACAAGTGATGCAGGAAGAGGGAGAAGAGACTGAGGAACGGACAGAGGAGGGGGGAGGTTGCATGGTGGCGCCACCCCCTCCCCTGTTCGTGTATGCTGACATTGAAGCTTTTCAGAATGCGGAGGGCATCTTTATTGCAAACTTGCTCTGTTATTCGTCTTCAGATGAAGACACTGTTCACGTCTTGGACGGGGAGGACTGTGTACTCACATTTTTACAACAACTGGACGATCTAACAGAAGTACCAGGCAAAGAACAACAAAGACAAGTCATTGTGGTCTTCCACAATTTAAAGTCATTTGATGGAGTGTTTCTAATACATGAACTGTATGACCAGCAAAGGTCTGTAGAAAACCAAATAACAGTGGGTGCAAAGGTCTTGTCCTTCACAAGTGGATTACTCAAATTTATAGACTCTCTTTGCTTTTTACCTATGCCACTATCGTCATTTTCCGCAACCTTCAATCTTACAGAACTGAAGAAGGGGTTCTTCCCCCATCTTTTCAACTGCCCGGAAAACCAACAGTATGTGGGCCGTATACCAGATTTAGAATTTTATGATCCTGATGGATTAATGGAAAACAGAAAAAACGAACTGTTGCAATGGCACGGAGACCAAGTAACGCGAAACGTTACGTTTCATTTTCACAACGAATTAATTGCTTATTGCAAATCTGATGTTCAATTGCTGAAACAAGGTTGTGAAGCCTTCCAGCAAGAATTTCAAAGAGAGGCAGGGTTCAACCCTATGGCTGAGTGCTTCACCATCGCTTCAGCCTGCAACCTCTACTGGCGCAAGAAGCATTTACCGCCCAACACTATAGCGGTTGAACCCCTTCAGGGGTGGAGGGGGCCAAATGTGAATCATTCATTAAAAGCAATACAATGGCTGTACTTCCAAGAACAGCTTATTCCAAAACAGGGCGCAAGTGCAGATAGAATCAAACACGTCCGCAATGGTGGCGAACAGTCCATTCGCACTGCAAACAAGTTATACTTCGTCGACGGATATGATTGTTCTACACGCACTGTGTATGAATTCCACGGGTGCATTTACCATGGATGCAGGAACTGTTACCCAAACAGAGACATAAAACATTATGCCGCTCCCGATCGTACGGTAGAAGAATTATATCAAGCAACTCTGGCCAAACGTATGGCCCTCCTCCGAGAGGGTTACAAAGTGCTTGAAATTTGGGAATGTCAATGGCACAGACAGGTGGAAACAAATGAAGCGGTCCAATGATTTCTCAAGTCCTTTGATTTGGTGCCACCGCTAGAACCAAGAGACGCCTTCTTTGGGGGGCGAACAGGTGCTGTGTCACTTCATGCAGAGGCAGGGGAGGGGGAGGAGATTCGCTATTGCGATATCACCTCCCTCTACCCCTGGGTAAACAAAAACTGCCAATACCCGATTGGCCACCCTACCATCATCACGCAGCCCGTGGACCAGTCCATCCACTCTTATTTTGGAATCGCCCTGGTAGATATCTTACCCCCCGCTGGCCTGTTCCATCCAGTGTTACCCGTACGATGTGGCGGAAAACTCACCTTTCCTCTATGCCGTAGTTGTGTGAAAGAGGAGCAAGAAAAATCTTTGTTACAAAGGACGCACTACTGCGTTCACTCGGATTCAGAACGGATGCTCAGGGGTACATGGTGTACCCCTGAGATACAAAAAGCCATAGAGAAAGGCTACACCTTGATCAAGATCCATGAAGTGTGGCACTTTCCCATCCAGCAAAGACAAACTGGCCTGTTTGCTAATTACGGTAACACTTGGTTAAAAATTAAACAGGAATGCTCCGGCTGGCCCAGTTGGTGCCAATCGTTAGAGCAGAAAGGAAACTACGTCATGAACTACCAGGAGAGAGAGGGGATTAGATTGGACATCAACCAGATTGCAAAAAATCCCGGACGCAAGGCTACTGCAAAGTTAATGCTCAACAGGTACTTTTTTCATGTTGCATTTTTTCATGTTGTCATCCCACACCTTCTCATTCTTTTTCTTTTCATTTCTTGCAGTTTTTGGGGCAAGTTCGGCGAACGCATCAATAAGCCGACTACAGTGACAGTAAAAGAACCCTCCCATTTGTTCAGTTTACTATCCGATACCACCAAAGACATCAGTACACTACGCCTTTGTACCGACGACGTGTTAGAGGCAGTATATACAAGTGTTAATGAAAATGCACCAAAGGGCACAAAAACGAACATCTTTGTGGCGGCAATGACAACCTGTTACGCACGGCTAAAACTTTATGATTCACTTGATGCCCTCCAAGAGCAAGTGCTTTACTTTGATACCGACTCTATCGTGTATAAGTGGCGTCCAGGTCAACCTTGCATCCCAACTGGGGATTTCCTAGGAGACATGAAAGATGAACTCCATGGAGATGTGATAAATGAATTTGTCTCCGGGGGTGCAAAAAATTATGCCTACACCACACGAGAGGGAAACCACGAATGTAAAGTAAGAGGATTTACTCTCAATGTTCGAGGGTCGGCTGTCCTCAATTTTCAGTCAATGAAAGAGAACATTTTGCAAGAATTACACATCGAACAAGACTCTCGACGCAACATAAACATTATGAACCCTTATTATTTTCAACGGGATGTTGAAAAAAAAACAAATTCGGGTAGTTCCACGCGTAAAGAAATACAGTCTTGTATTTGATAAACGTGTGATAAACACGAGTGGATTAACTTTCCCTTATGGATACAGGAGAGTAGGACAAGAAATAGAACTATTAATGGAATTGTAAAGTAAAATACAAGGGCGTGACGTCACTAAGACGTTGCACATGTCCCTGATGTAACTAAGGTCTTCTCGAGATTGTATTAAATCAAAAAGTGATTTTTTATTGGTAATTACACTATGTTTTTTCTTGACTTCCGGTCGCGCTCTCACTTCCGGGGACCTGGGGATAAGTCACGTGACCTTAGTGACGTCAAAAGCATTCTCACGGGTTGCTTTCTTGACTTCCGGTGGCGCTGTACACGACAATGTTCCATGTTACTTTATGCGCATGCGTTGTTGGAATTTGTTACAAAGAGTTACCACAAGCGTGGGCGTACCACATCCACTGCAAATATAAAGGTCAAGTCATCCCTTCTAGGTTATAAGACAATGCCCCCTAGCAGATGTTACTCCACGCGCATGCGCCGATTAAAATCACCCCAAAAGAGTACCACAAGGGTGAGCGTGCCACATCCACTGCAAATATAAAGGTCAAGTAATCCCTTCTAGGTTATAAGACATTGCCCCAGCGAATGTTACTTTATGCGCATGCGTTGTTGGACATTGTCACAAAGAGTTACCACAAGGGTGAGCGTGCATCATCCATTGCAAATATAAAGACCAAGTCATCCCTCCTAGATTATAAGACAATGCTCCTAGCCGATGTTACTCCACGCGTATGCGCTGATTAAAATCATCCCAAAGCATTACCACAAGCCTAAGCGTACAACAACCAACACAAATATAAAGGCCAATTATTGCATTGAGCAATAAAGCACAGTAAGTACCATTTCTTGACTTCCGGTCGCGCGGTCACTTCCAGAGTCTGGGGAGTCACTTCCGGTTGCGAGGTCACTTCCGGGAGTCTGGGGACTAGTTGAGGCGTTGACTTCCGGTCGCGCGGTCACTTCCGGGGGACTGGGGAGCAGTTAGAAGATGGGTCACGTGACCCTGTGACGTCAAAAACATGCAAATGAGGTCACGTGACCTCTATTCCCCAA